TGTGTAAATCTGCCTTCCAAACAACAAAGCAAATCTTGGGGAACAAAAAAAAAAAAAAAAACAGGATGGCAGAGAAGGCATTGTGGATACCAGTTTGAATCCTTATTGCTCCACTTCCAATACAGCACCATGCTAATGGACCTACGAAAGCAGCAGAGAATGGCCTAAGTGTTGGGGCTCCTGCAGCCATTTGGGAGACCCAAAGAAACTCCTGGTTCCTGGCTTCAAACCAGCCCAGCTCCAGCTGTTGTAACCAGTTAGATAGTGAACTACTGCATGGACTATCTCTGTCACTCCCTCCCTCTCTTTCTTTGCCTATCAAATAAATGAGTTAAAAAAAAAAAAAAAAAAAAACACCTTCAAGGATACTTAAGACAGATTCTGATTGCAAAAGCACAGGTGCAATCAAGTGACAAGTCAAGTGCAAGGGACCACATCCCTGCCATAGTCCACACAGCCCCCACAGAACTTGGGTAACCATGCGCCTCCTCAGTCCCTGGCTACATCAAAACTCACATCTATGCATTAAGCTCAACGCTCCAGCCCTTTCTCTAACATGGCTATTTGTAGTCATTAGGACCTGCTTAGGCAGGCCCCAAGTTATCACACCTGCTCTGCCCTGCACTGCCCTGCCCTGCCCTGCCCTGCCTTCTCCTCCCCGAGGGTAACAATTTTGAGCAGGGCCAGAGTGGCAAGATTGCTCTGTGCTGAGTCGGCCTCAGACATGGGCCAGGTAAACGCCCTCAGCCCTCCCCAGGAGCAACTGCTGGGTGGGACAGCGCCCAATGACCTGAACGCAAAGTGAATGGGAGTGGTTGGGACGCTTGGCCCAGAGTTACCTCCCAGCTTAGCCTGTCCCTCTGTCCAGTCCCGCCCACAGGCCACCCCAGGAGGTCTCAGGCCTAGCCTGAGTACCCTTCCACAGGACAGGCGGTGGCTGGCAGTATGGCAGGATCAGGGCAGAAGCCCCAGAGCTGGGGTTCCAAAACCTGCTCTGCAACACCCTGGGTAAAACATTTGCCTACTCGGAACCTTGGCTTCCTCAGCCATTAACCAGGGAAGGCACCAAATGAGGCCAGCCATGACATGGGTCATGCTCAGAGAAGCCCACAGATGGGCAGCAGGTGGCCTGGCCCTCCCAAGGAGAGTACGGGAATGCAGCCACTTCCTCCAGCAGCAGGGCTCATCCTTCCTGCAGCAGCTCTGCAGGTGGTTCAGGACGTGGGGGTCCCTGGCATTCGCTCAAATCCCCCCTCTTCAACTCCCTGCACCTCGGATATACCTCAGCAGACTCCTGCCTTGCAAGCTCACTGGGTGATGCCTGCTTTGACTGAAAAGCATGAGCAAAGTGCCCCCCAGTACTATGAGCAGGATGACAGACGGTAGGGTTGACGCTGGGCACCTGTGGGCATGGGCCCTAAAGACCCACCAAGGCAGTCACCCAGTCCTGGTGATGCATAGTGCAGGCTTTAGAGACGGAGAGAAGTAGGGCTCAGAGGGAAGTAGTAATGCTGGGAACACATAGCCAGTATGGGACACCAGGGAGCCCGGCTCCAAAACAATAGGCTCTTCCCCTCCACCCAGAGGCCACATGAGGAGTGACCAGACTGCGGTCACTACAAGGTCAGTCCTGGACCATGAATAATAACAGCAGCAGGGAGGGCTAGTGGGGCTGCGGAAACCCCACCCCCAGTACTCAGCAAGAGTTTCAGATGCCACCCCTTAGGTACCTGCACAGGGGGCCACTTCCTATGGCTCCAGGAGACAAGGCGGCATGCAGGGAATGTGGTCTCCAGAACTGTAGCTACTCGTACAAGCCTCACGGGCCAACATTTCAGCTGTGCTCACAGAGAGCAAAGAATCCCACCACTATGAGAACAGCAAGGGTGAGGCGCACCCCTGAGGCACACAGCCCTGGTGCCTCTTCTATCTTTCACATTGCTCTGGTTGATAAGCACTGGGGAAGTGTTAAGGATGGTACAACCCATCTGATAAAAGAAGGAAGGCCGTATTGAAGAGCAGGGGACCATGCTCATTACAGTATCAAGTCTCCCAGCAATAGCCAGGTCCAAGGGGACTCACAACCCAGCCCTCACCTTTCTGGGATCCGTCCTCTGCATGCTAGAGGGCTAGCCATAAACTTGGCACAGCCCATTCAGAGGAAGCACTCCTGGGACAGTGGGGGGCTGGAGGACATCCTACCAGGGGCTAATCCCTTTGCCTTCTCCATGGCGCTGCAACGTGCAGAAGCGAGTGCAGAAGCGAGTGCACCTGTTGTAGACAGGGGCACGGTGACCGCGACCGGAGCTCCTGAGAACCACTGCCTCTGCTCTCTGTGTTCCCAGTCCGAAAGGGCCATGGCTTCATGCTGAGGCCTGGGTCACCTTGCCTCCCCATGCTGGGCTTCTCAGCAGCTCTCTCCTGTGCAGTCACCAAGACCCCGGATTAAATTCCCTCCATGGCAAATCTTCCATATTGCACACTACCCTGCCTGGACTCTGATAGAAACATACCCTTCTAAAAGGCAATGCAGAAAAACAATAAAATGGTTCTTCCTCCTGAAAGCCCATGAGAAAAGAGGGCCGGTTATTACTAGCCATTTCCTACAGAGAGCAAGTACCATTTGGTAGAGCAAAGATGTGCAGCCTTAGGGGCCACACATCCATGACAACAAATCTCAGGGCTCCAACCCCTGCACTTTCATTTCTAAAAACCCCTTGTTTTGGAGAAACCATGGCCTCAGCCACAGAGACACCAACAGTTCCCCCTGAAAGTACCGGGTGAGTCACTGGTGGGAGAGGTCACATAGTGTGTCACTGCAAGGCCTGTGTGTGGGGTACCCAGAGCCACAGTCAGCCTCCAGGCTGGAAACCACACAGTCAAGCCATCCTGTGGCGGAGGGTTGGGGGTGCTGTAGACTGTGGTGGACACAGGTCCTACAGGGCAACAGGAAGTATGAAGGACAAGAGCTTTCTATCCCACCACATTTGCCAAGCATCGTGGCAGCAGCACTGGGTGCCAGGGAAGAAGAGGAAGATGGCAACTCAGCTCACTATCCTTTCATGAGGGATTTTCCTCTCTCCTAAGAGCACAGTTAGGATCCCAAGAGATAGCCCCCATGAGCCCAGATGGTCACGGTACAATGCATGGGATCGGATTTCTACCCTTAAACCCTAACAGCTCCCAGGATCATGACATTGAATCTGCAGCCAAGTAGCCATATGCTCCAGCTGAAGCAAAGGTCATAGGAGCTTGACCACAATGTCATCAGTTACTTAAACAAAAAAAAAAAATTTTTTTTAACTTTTTGTTGAAAAGGCAGATTTATAGAGAGAAGGAGAGACAGAAAGATCCTCCATCTGAGGATTCATTCCCCAAATGGCTGCCATGGCCAGAGCTGAACCAATACTAAGCCAGGAGACAGGAGCCAGGAGTTTCTTCCAGGCCTCCCATGTGGGTATAGGCTCCCAAGGCTGTGGGCTGTACTCGACTGCTTTTCCAGACCACAAGCAGGAAGCTGGATGGGAAGTGGAACAGCCAGCACATGAACTGGCACCCATACGGGATCCTAGCACTTGTAAGGGGAGGATTATTAAGCCATTGGCACTGGGCCTGCCCTGGGTTACTTTCAAACCAACACCAGTCTTGACTAACTGAAATTCCCCAAGGAAGTAGGGAGGCTGGGGTGGCAGATGAGGAGAAAGTCCCCAGGGCTTACAGGAGCTGCAAAGACTACAAGTAGAACAGCCCAGCTTCTGTGCCACACTCACCATCAAGCACATCTGGAAAATTAGGTCAATCTCTAGGGGTTCCATTGTACTTTTCACCACTGCCCCCTTCCGCCACCCCAGCGCCTCTCTCCGAGGAATGCTCATCATGGTCTCACACATAAGTCCCTAGGGGTCAGCCAGTGTCCAGGCCACTGGTGAGCAGGAAACAGTACCCCAGAGTGATGCAAAGTCACAAGCAAAAACCCTGGCTTTGCTACCACCTCATTGCAGGAACATGAGCAAGCTGCTGCACCTGTCAGGGCCCATTTCCCCACCTGTTAAGGTTGCACAGAGGAGTAACAGAGATATGACCCACACGATGGCAGGGACCACCCTCCCCCCCTTCAGAGCTTCTAAACAAGACACAGATTCCTGAACTGAGGTTAAAAAAGTTGAGGTGTGTGGACCAAGCATCACTGATGTGCCCACTGCTTTCAAAGTTGATTTTGTGTGTGTGTCTGTGTGTGTGTGTGTGTGTGTGTGTGTCTGTGTGTGTGTGTGTGTGTGAGATGAAGTTTGACTCTAGGCATCTGGAGAGACATGAAGATTCCACATGCTGAATTCTTCAAGATGCCCCAACCACCACATTGCTAGGAGCAAGAGGGGGGCACCCTCATTTCTGGCTGCTTCAGTTTATCTGGGCACACTGTGACCCCAGCCCTAAGCACAGCAAGGCAGGCTGGCACACAGGGCAGAGCAGGTCCGGGCCAGCCATGGGAAGAAGTCGCACTCAGGGGACAATAAACCTCGACGCCTCCTCCTAGTCCCAGCCAGCCATTGCTGGTTAACCCCAAAGCCACTCCACACCCCTCTGGCCTCCCCGTCCACAGCCTCCCCATTGTGGGCTGGGTCCCTCCACCCCTCCAGGTCTCCACTGGCTCTCAGAGAGAAGCCCCTCTTTTCAAAGATCCTCACAGAGATGAGATGGGATCAACATGGGAAGCAGCTTTGCTTTCAAAGTTTTAAGTATTTGAAAGACAAAAGAAAAAAAAAAGGATCTTCCATTGACTCATTCACTCCTCAAATGGCTAAAATGAGCAGAAGTCCATAACTCCATCAGGGTCTCCCACATGGGTAGTAGGGGTCCCAGCACTTGGGCCATCTCCCATGGCTTTCCCAGAGTACCAGCAGGGAACTGGATAGGAGACGGAGCAGCAGAGGCTCAAACCACATACAGAATGTCGGCATTTCAGGTAGCAGTTTAACCCACCGGGCCATGGCACCAGCCACAGGGCAGGTACTTCATAAACTGTAAAGTGCTGTATAAAGCAAAGCTCACAGTGGTACCAGCAGCTGAAAAAGGCCTTTATTTTCTGATACATGCACACACCCTGTGGAATCTTCCTCCACTAATGATAAACCATCCCAGGTCACCCATAAAGTGAGGAGCCTACCACTTTCCCTGTCCCTAGCCAGGGCTACTATAAAATGCTATAGTCTACACTGCAAAGTGTGAGAAGTCCCCTTAAAAGCCCATGGAAAACATGGATTTCAAGCTCCTTGAATGAAAATAACTGAACATTTATATTTGAAATGTAAAGAAACAGAGCAAAGCTAAGATTCGGAATAGGATTTAGGCGGCCCAAGTAGCATCTTTATCACCACACCAACTTATAGTTCCATGTTTAATTCCTCTTAGATTGTGTATCATTCTGCTGAGAGATAAGGAAGATAAGGGGTGGCACAGTTGCAAGGAAATTTGGCTTCTTTCCCTGGTATTAAAAAAAAATCACCAAGCGGCTCAAGGAGAAATGAAACAAGCAAAGGGTAGCTTGGTGCACACACACATACAAACACACTTCAGTAAGGAAGCAAGGGTGGACTGGCGGCAGAGTGGGCCCAGGCATGAGTGTGGGGTTTCAGGGTGCCTCTTTCAGCCTTCTGTGGTCTTCTGGCCTGGCTTCCTCAGAATTCAGAGCCCAGAGCAGCCCTCAGAGAAAAGCTGACTACACCCAAGACACCTGTCGCAGCAGCACACACCGGGGACAGCTCACTTTACATCCAACAGCGTATCAGGCAGCTCCCCCTCGGCTCATGGCCCCTCCCCCTTGGCTGTTCTGTCCAAAGAAAGGTCACCCTGACCAAGGCCACCCCACTGCTCCCCTCTTACCCCAGGACAGCTCAGACACAGCGGTGGGACTGCAACACGACACTTGGCTGCTTAAGCAGCCTTCTCTGCCCAAGCCTGGCTCACTTCCCTCCCTCTTCCACAGTCCTCACCCTCTCTGACACCTTTCACAGGAGCCATCCCAGCTCCTGCCCATTCTACCTGGTCTCCCCCAGTGCAGCAAATTCAATGAAGCAAGACCAGTGAGCTCTACCTCATTGAGGGGAGAGCGGCTCACCCCAGGGTGTTCCCACCCTGCCAAGTTGCAGTTGGACAGCAGGGTCAGGAGTGCTGGGCAATGGGTTTCCAGGCTATGACAGCTATCCATCAGCAAGCGGGGACAGAGAATCTGATGGGAACTGTGGCTTCGTAAGGGCTGGCTCGCTCCGCCCAGTTTAGAAAGGACTGGCATCATGGCAAAACAATTTCAAAGCGCAGAGACCATAAACACAAAATTAAAAGGTGAAGTGAAAAGGGAGGAGATGTTTACTGGAAATTGAAATTATGCTGCCCAGAACACACTCTTTTTTTAAACACAAAACACACACACACCTGTCTACATGCTACCTAGACCTCCCCCTACCCCCACTCCGCACCAGAAGGATGCACTTTGCACTGGACATGACTTTCTTATCTGCTCTGGTCACACTCAGCTTGTGACCAGTGACCGTGAAACCTGGAACGGCAACCTTGGCCACAACCTGGGTGGAACAAACCCGGGGCCTGTGCTCACTGATGCGCACACACCTCGTTTACTCTCTGGGACGATCACAAATATTGGGATCCATGGGGACCCATTCCCAGCCACACCTGCAATATAGCTACTGCAGCAGGTGACCACTGGAACCACCCAGACTTGCCCTGCGCAGTAGCTCTGGGCCCAGAGAGAAGGGCCCTGCAACCAGAACAGTGGGAGAGGAGGGAGAGCAGGTGACAACAATCAAAACAGGACCCTGGCCCCCATTATCCCTTCCCCTGCAAGAAAAGCTGAGGGGAAACAAACAAACAAAAAATAGAAAAACAAGGTCCAGGAAGTCAGGGTGCCTACCAAGACTGCCTGCCCAGAGTTGAGGTGTACTGGGATGGGGAGCAGGGAGAAGATGTGCCCAGCATGGAGGGAATCCCGTGAGTCTGGCTTTTGCTCGCTCAAGACCTTGGCCTGGGAGGTGCCAGGCCTACTCCCTGCACCTTTCAAACAGTGACTGAGGGACCACATACAGGTCTCTGCCTGGCTATGGTCAGATCTGTATGTCTTCAACTTTCCAGTAAGCCTCCCAGCTTCAGGGTCCTGGGGCCTCTCTGTCTCCCCAGGGGCCTTGCTCAGTCTCAGAACTGCATACTCACTGACCTCAAAAGCAGCAGCAGCCTGTGTGTCCCCCACCTGCACCCCACACCTGGCCACCTTACAAGCTCCTCCCACATCCCCTTTGTGCAGGATATCCTTCAAGGCTAATCAGAACCAACACTTCTCTTCCCTACGTTGACTCATCCCATACAGATAGGCACTCAGCCGAGCAATGCAGCCACAGACACCTGCCCACCCTCCATCTGCATGGGAGGGCCCAACAGAGGTGTCCCTTCCCCCAGGTGGCCTTGTCCACCCACAGGTGATGGAAGGAAGAGACATCCTGGAGGGAACCAGGAACAGCCAGGCCAACGTGGCAGGACACTCTCGGCCAAAGCCAGGGAGGCTGGGGTTCCTGGAACCCACCAGGAAGCCATGCCGGCACGTGTGGGATGCAGCTGTTCTCGGCTTCAGGCAAACAGCAAGGGAAGAAGGGTGAACAGCCTGCGGAGTGCGTTCCGGCTCCACCCCCAACCCTCAACCCTTGCTCAGTTCCCCCACTCCACCCCCATTTCCTGAGCAGAAATAATCAACTTCAAATGATGCCACAACATCAAACATACCGGAACCCCTCCCCAGAGATACAACAGAATCGGGGCTCCCAACCACATGGCAGCTGGGATTAAACCTCCTTTCCAGGGCCTGGAGCACCCTGCCTTGCCAGGGTTGGAGGGAAGGGGTGTGCCTCTGGCTCTGGCCACCATCATTTACTGCCACTCTGTAGCCAGGACACACACCTGCCACAGCGAAGGTGGCTTCACACACACACACACACACACACACACACACACACACACACACACACACATCTGCAGCTGGGAATCTTCATTATGCCTGCTACACACTAGGTCCACCTGGCCAAAATTGTTTCCATTTTAAAGTGAGAGATTGGAGAAGTTATAGGGAAAGCACCCATCTACTGGTCCACTTCCCAAGATGCCCACAATGGCTGGTCTCTAAGCAACAAATGAGGACCTCAATCGGGGTCCCATCATCACTGCCTCCCAGCGTTCACATTAGCAGGAAGCTCAAATTGGGAGACAGGGTTGGTACTTGAACCAACCTGTCCAACACGAGATGCAGGTTTCCCAACGGGCATTGTAACCTCTTGGTCCCACATCTAAAAAGCTTTTTAAAATGCTAATCTCTCACACCCTGCTCCTAGCCCCACCTGCAGAAATTCATTCATTGGTCTGAGGTGTAGCCCGAGCATCAGACTATTCTTTTTTAAACATTTATTTATTTTTTGGAAAGAGAAGAAGAGACAGAGAGAAAGATCTTCCATTCGTTGGTTCATTCCTCAAGTGGCCACAAGCCAAAGCTGAGCCAACCCAAAGCCAGGAAATTCTTCTGGGTCTCCCACATGGGTGCAGAGGCCTAAGGCTTTGGGCTGTCCTTGACTGCTTTCCCAGGCCACAAGCAGGGAGCTGGATGAGAAGTGGAGCAACCAGGACATGAACTGGTGCCCATATGAGATCCCAGGGCTTGCAAGGTAAGGATTTAGCCACTGAGCCATCGTGCTGGGCCCACATCAGACTATTCACGGTTCAGAAACTCCAACTGTGACCTCAACAACCAAATGTGAATCGTTAGGATGCAAGCGTCCTAGCTGCTGCAGCTCAGCTCAAACCAAACCCCTTTCCACCCAGTCCTCAGCCGCAGGTTCTAGCTCTAGTCTCCCCAGGGGAACAGTACAGCAAGTCTGAAACTCTCTGAATGAGTAACAGACTCAATTTCTTTGAATGCATATGTAGGAATGAGAAGGCTGAAGGTGGCCCAAATTTTTAAATCCTGCTAAAATCCTGCACTCTTGGTTCATAGAAGAAGAGACCAGGAACTAGGGGTAACAAATGATTCCCCCAAGGTCGCAAAAGCCGACACAAACAAGCCAGATCCACACCCAAAGACCACGGAGCAGCCTGGTTGGAGATGGACAGTTGACACCAGCATCACCGTCATGGAACTGGACAGATGTCATTCTCTAACAGTTCCAGCGCCAAAGCCTCAGGTCCCCGGCCAGCCTGACAGCAGCTAAGGCTAACAGGGCGCTTCTCCAGAAGGATTCCTGGTCAAGTTGTCATCCCCAGAGAACCTTCCTGCTGGTTGGCTGAGCTTCCTCGGGAGAAGCCGCTGGCACAAAACGCCCAGGCCGCCTCATGAAAAGGCTGTCTGTTGAGCAGCAGGCCTGGGAGGCTGCAGCCAGCCCCTCCTCCCCCGCACCCCCTCCTGGCTTTTTGTGGAGAGAGCTGACTGTCGGCTGCAAAGTTTCGAACCAAGCTGTGAACACGCTCCCTTCCTTCCTGCATTTTTAAAAGATTTATTTTATTTTTAATGGAAAGTCAGATTTCTAAGGCACCACCATCGGGGAGACAACTGGGGCCTAGAACAGGTTTCCCAGCTCAAGGCTGAAGAAGTCCCCTTTGCACCACCTCTGGCTCCCTGGGGGCAGGAATCTGCCCACCTGCCCAAATCAACAGTGCATTTGCATACTTCCCATCACCACCACCACTGCTACCACCAGCAACGAAAGAAACTCAAGAAACACCAAACGGATTGAACAATGACTGTAATGCAATTGACTAGGATCATTAAGGGAATGGCTCATCTCTGAAGGCAGAGCCTGTGATGGGAACTTATATTTGGCCCCCCCCAAAAACCATGTGTATCAAGACAACAGTAGAGGGGCTGGCGTGATGGGTCAACTGGCTAATCCCCTACCTATAAGCACCAGCATCCCATATGGGCACTGGTTTGTGTCCCGGCAACCCCACTTCTCATTTAGCTCCCT